AAAAGCTGAAACAATATATCACCAAAGTGGAGTTGGTTGGGAGAAGAAAATCCACGGCAACATTAAAGCAACGACAATAAAGTGTATCAAAAAAAAAAAAAAGGCAACAACAATATATAAGAGATCACCAAGTGAGTACATTTCTAGCAGCTCAGATGTTCAAAAATTTCCTTAAGCTAAAATCTCTCCCTCTCTCTCTCTCACACACACACAATGCAACAAAGAATTCAATAGGCTGAAGAAAGATACATAAGAAAATAACCCGGAAGAACACATGGCAGGACAAAATGGCAACATGGAGGAATAATAGCAATAGCCAAGACATAGTAACAATGTTATGAGGTAACGTGTAGATACATACACGAAATAGTTGCAAGGTATGTCTACTTAATCACAATAAAAGATATACTAAATGACAAATCATAAAACAAATAAAATTACTCCCACAAAGAAAGGTACTTCTACTGCAGATGGTGATCAAACACACCTAAAGCTATTGATGTTAAGAAGAAGATAATTAACCTTGTTTGATTCTCTTCAACTTTGATACAATCTTCTATTTATTTTTCAAATTCTTGGGCTGATTTGAACACGGCCTTCATCCATGATAATTGTAATAAAGAAGAAGTTAAAAAAAAAGGATCTGGGAGAAGACTGTTATATTGTATATGCAACTATAAGAGAAGACTGTAAAAAAATTAGCTACAAGACTTTCAAAAAGGGAAACGCAACTTGTTTGCTAAAAGATGAAACTTATAGGGGAATGTTCTAATCAACTCTGCACGAACCAATAGAAACAATTTTGCAGTCGAGAAAGCTGCCTATTTAAATGACAAAAACGAAAAAGAAAAATAAAAGATGACAAAGCAAAGAAAGGTATGTTAAATGACAGAAATGCTTAGGGCATATCAGATTCTCTTTAAAGACTAATGCCTCTCCATTTGTGCACTGCCCATGTGACTTTTTGTGGTTTTCTTCAATGGGATTTATCTTACACAAAAAAGGCAAGTTATACTTAAAATCTGCTTAAAACTTGTAGACCCCAACAGCATGAATCTAATAAAAAGCAGTCCAACCTTTTAAATTGTGATGTTCTTATTTAGGATATTATATACACCACGTCTCAAATAGCATGAGACTTGGGGCTTGCTAGATTTCTAGGCTCCTAAATTGAAAAGTTACATTCTATCAAAAGAATTATATCAAAACAAATAAAGAAAAGAAAAGTTACAGAAATCATAAATACCTTTGTCTATTTCTTTGCTGTCTTCTCTTTTACTTCATTAATCATCCCATATCCAATTTTGTTTATGACAACATTAGAGCATATTTACTGCAAAGTAATTATGAAATGTACACTCAGTTGATATAGTTTCATTCTAAGTCTATTTATAAGACCACCTATTAGAAACATTTTATATTGAATCTTGACCTCAGCTTCAACAGAAACAAAGTGAGATGCAAAAAAAAGGAAGAAAAAACAGAAAGGGAAAGGGAGAAGCAGGACCCTCATCTATAAATATCATACAAAAGTAAAACATCAAATGAACATATGACAGGTAAATAGCTTCTAAACCTCCATTGGACGTATTTGAACAACTATATTCCGTCATCAGTAGGAAAATTACCTTTGGGGAACCCCGAAGGATCATGTCAACCCTTTGGTTCTTCCAACGTGAACCTCCAAAACCTGGGAATGTCCAAAACATGTTAATGTAAGCTAAACGCACAAATTAGTTTTAAATGAATCGCAGAATGAAAATAAACATCAGTGGATACAAGATTACCTGGAAACAACTCTCCCATGAGCATAACCTAATCATGCACAACCTTCCAAAATGCTTGAATGGTGTGTTAATTATATAGGGTCCGTTTGGCATGGCTTTTGAGGGGCTTAAAAATAGCTTATTTGTAGTGTAAGCCCGATTGGAAAAATCATGCTGTTTGGTTGGGCTTAAAAAAAAGAGGAGTTTATGAAATTTAAGCCGGCAAACGTACGTTGTCTCTCAAGCTGAATTTTATAGCTTATTGAAGAGCTTATTTTCTACCAGAGCTTATTTTCTCTCACTTCTGCTATATTCCCTATTTACTTCTTTTTTTTTTTTATCAAGCTTTCATCACCTATGACCCCTCTCAGATTAACGTAAAGGCTCATTACTTTGCCGCCCAAGGAGCTTCATTTTTAAAATATTTTTTTTGATTTTAAAATTTTAAATTTTAAATCACCTGTTAAATTTCACTTCTTCATATTAAATTAATTTAAATTCATTATATTATACAAATTTTTTTATCATGTTTCGTTATTTATTAAAACTCATACTCATTTTGGTCATTTTACAACCAGATTTCCTTTTACTCAACCATAATCCAAACAACTTTTTATCAATCTTACTTTTGCAAACTAGCTTTTTTAAACTCCAATCCAAACACAATTCAGCTTATTCAATTTAGCTTTTACCCAACTTCACTTATCCATAAGCTACTTTTTAATAAGTTACTTTTCCAATCGCTAATCCAAACGGGCACATAGATGTTTCAAAGTTGAGGATGAAATGAAATTTGAATTTGAATTTCAAATTTTAGCGCAAGGATTCAGGGAGGATTTTGATATCTCATACAGAACTGTGGGCTTCTTCACTCTGCGGTTGATTCTGACACTTTGCCTCTTGCATGTTTCTCTGTAATTTCTTTTCACTGCGCCATTTGAAGGCTGTCGTGAAAATGAAAACCTGGGTAATGTGAACCCCGAAGGATCATTTAGGGTTTTTTGGGTAATGTTGCGTTTTTTTTAATCATGTGACCCAAAGTTTTAAGCCATATGATGCCTTTTATAACAGGCCTCAACTACAATACATTTGGGGAAAAAAAAAAAAAGCTAGTGTGCAGCCCAATACATCCTATTGCATCTAATTCTGAATCAGTTAACACGAAGCCAGAGGAAGAAGGTTTTTTTTTTTTTTTTATTAATATGGCTTGTGAACAGTAATCTGAGTCTAAAGCTAGTGCTAAGCCATTTTTAAATATGGCTTGGTGGAAGAGTTTTTATAGATATATTGAATTTTAAAATGACCAATTTGAACTCCTTGGAATATAAAGTCACATCTACCCTTCCGAATTTCCCAACATAAAGCTGCAACAAAGGATCGATGCTTGACAATGGTATCTTAAATGGACTTGGATTCTCTCCACTTCCTTCCATCCTCTTCCCCTCCACTACCCTTCTTTTCTCTTCACAATCATTGGATTAAAATTCCAATGGTCCAAATTTAACATCTTATAAAAATAATATTATTAAAAAAATAAAAAATAAATTTAAACTGTTAAAATTTGGTCTAAACAGTTTGCAATTGTAATAAAAAAATTAAAAAAAATTTGCTCTATAATAACAGTCTGTAGTTATAAACTGTTCAGATTAGATTTTAACAGTTTAAATTTATTTATCTATTTTTTATCATAATATTTATCTTTATAAAATGTTATAAAATATTAAATTTGGACTATTGGAATTTTGATCCAATGGTTGTGAAGAGAAAAAGATGGTAGTGGAGGGGAAGAGGATGGGAAGGGTAGTGGAGAGAATCTGATTCCATCTTAAATTTGAACTTTTTTGCCAAACATACGTTCATGGTATGATACTTGTACATTGAATTCCCGATAACAAAATCTCATTCTAGGTGTGCTTGGATTAGCGATAAGAGAAGTTATTTTTTTTTCAATTTGACTTTTACAAAAATGAGATTAGGTAAAAGTCAGGTAGTGTAATGTGATTTATATTTGGGTTGGCTTTTGTAAAAAAGATCAGTTTAAGAAGTTAAAATTTGTTTAGATGATTAATAAAAAAATAAATTTAGATGTAAAATGATTGAAAAGGATGTAAACTTTATTGAATGGTACATATTTATATTATATGTTTATAATATGATAATTGTCAGAGAAAAATTAAAATTAAAATTAAAAATAACAATAGTTATTTTTTAAAGAATAATAAATTTATTTTTTAAAAATGATTTTATTATTCAAAAAATAATTTTTTAATATTAAAAACTAATTGGCTGGATTTTAAAAAAAAAAGAACTCACATCATGCATTCTCTCTCATCCCTGACTCGTGGGCCTCACCTATCAAAATGTCTGGTGGAGAAGCTTTTTTTGACCAGCAGCAACGAAGAAACTAAAAGCAGGAGCTTTTGAGAAAAAGTTCGTTTTTAGTATAAGTCTATCTTCACGGCGAATCCAAACATTTTTTTTAAATAAAAAAGTTATTTTTTCAGTTTTTTCCAGCGGAAAAGTCAATTTAGAGGCTTTTATCGTGATCCCAAACACACGTCTATCATTCACGAGCAGGAAAAAAGATCTCGTTTCATTATAAGGATGCGGGAATTCCCAATCTCCAAACTCAGGTTCCCCTTTTACCGACCAAAAGTATTTGTACCCTCGTCTTCCTCCTCCTTTTTTTTTTAAAGTAAACTTGTTTAAAAAATCCACCATTAAAAAATTTATTGTCCTTTCACCAAAAAAAATTTATTGTCCACAGATAAATAAGAACCTAGATAGTTGTAACTATTTTTTAATTATATACATCACATCTGTAGCTATATAAATGAAACATATAAAATTAAAGGCAAGTTATACATAATTAAAAAAGAGTTAGAAAATAGATTAAAAGGGTGTTTGGATATCTTGAAAAGTGCTTCTTAGAAGTATTTTTTACAAATCTAGATAAACTTCTCCATATATTTACTTCGTAGACTGTAAAATCACTTCTGAAATCATGATTTGGTTTCTATTCAAATACTCCTAAAGTTTGACGTCAGCATTAAAATTCCTTCCCAAAGTACCACAAGTTTTGTATCGGAAGATTTTTCAGATTTCCCCTCCCATTTTCCCAAGATCATAGATTTCTCCTTCCATCTCAGTCCTTTCCGTCCCATTTAATAAGCTTCATAGGCAACGATAAAGTCTCTGGGGCGAAGCGAGAGGGACTAGTTGGGTATGGCCCCATAATTCTTTAATTTTTGCTTGCATCAATTCCTCAGAAATTTATATTATAAACTTTGTATTATGCGTGTTTTCTTAATCTCGAGCTTAGTTTTTTAATCTTAGATTCCCCCCTTGCTGACCTTATCTTTTTGTTCTCACTCAAAATCTCAAACCTGCGATGTTGGTCATACAAGAAACCCTGTAATCCACCCATTAGGTACCCTGAAATCCACGCTGCTGATTACGCTGGCGGCTGAAATTGATGGCATTAATTATTATTAACTATTACTTTAATTAATTTCTTAGTTCTTAATAATTTTTCAGAGCTGGAATCAAGCGTACACCACGGTGCTCGTTTAATGTTGACGCAGTCTCTGTTCAGAAGCCGACCCTGGTTCAATTATCCCCGAGAAACTCTCATTTTCCGGTGAGGAACTATCACTTGTGATTTATATTTTTCCTGCCCTGTTTTTCACCTGTTGCTTGGTTCAAAATCGCATTGGAAAGAGCTTGAGCTAGATATGCGAAATGCAATTTGCTTTTTTTTTTTTTTAATTAACTCTTAGCTTTTGTTCTCGTTTATTTCAATCCTGTAGTTTCATTGTTCGAAATTTAAGGGCGAAGAGTTCCAGAAATTCAGACATGGCGCCACCGGTTCTTTCTCTTTCAAGGGCGAAGAATTCCAGAAATTCAGACATGGCGCCGCCGGTTCTTTCTCTTGCTCTTCCGTCGGAGACTGGTCGAGTTCTCAGCATTCAGTCACACACTGTGCAGGTTTTTATTGTCCCATTTCAAATAAGGCCTCCTAATACTTTATGAACATGATATACAGGATTGCTTAATTAATATACATCAAATGTGTTTGTAAGACATTGCCAAGAGTTGGATCCTGAGTTGTTCTTGCCAGGCGAAAAAGGTGATAAAGCATCAAAGGGCACTCCTTTGGTAATTAATTTGGTTGAATGAAAAATTATTGATGTTAATGAGTTTTTCAACGTTGTTAGATCATGCTGCCTCTTAATAAACAGTAGAATTCATCATATCGGTTTTCGATTGCTATTTCTAGTTTCCTCTTGGCGTAATTCTGCATGTAGGATGCATGCACCGCACTGAAGAATTACCTTGACAACGTAGCCCCTTGCTATTCTTCTTAGGGTTATGTCGGAAATAAGTCAGCTGTCTTTCCGCTACAACTTTTGGGCTATGATGTGGATCCAATTAACTCTGTGCAGTTTTCGAATCACACAGGCAAGCTGCTTCTATTTCTTCATTCAGTCTCTGGACTCTGACTCTTTGAGACCTGATTTGTGGTGCGATGACATTTGTCAATCTGAATAAGTTCAGACGTGTTATGATTTTTAGTAACAGTGAACTAGACTTGAGGACCATGCAGGGTATCCAACCTTTAAGGGTCAAGTTTTGAATGGAGAGCAACTCTGGGATATTATACAAGGCCTTGAAGCAAATGAATTATTGTTCTACACTCACTTATTGACCGGTATGTCAAAAAGTGTCCTATATGTTTTATTAATACTGAACTGTATTCCACTCTTCTCACCTCTGGTGAAATTTAAATCAGCATTATGGCAACAGATGTTAAGAACATCACAATATATAAAAGCAATTGGCTAGATCACTACGCTGCGCTATGCCTTATTCTAAATTCCTAAACCAACAACCAATGGTTCCAGCAAATCCAGTTTCAAGCTTTAGACATGATTGTGAGACCGTATTATCCATGAGGGAATTGAGGACCGTTGAATTAATAAAGGAGGTAGGTTGCATATTTTCCTTGGACGGTGGTATTTCTAACCATGGATGAGTTAACTGACATCTTGCTGGTAGCTTTTTATGAAATGCTTCTGGTGCAGCCACCTGTCATAGAGATGAGGATGTAGTACGTCTAGCATTAGACTTGTCAAGGGAGTCAATGATTGGATCTGTTTAGGTCGTGTGATTTCTCCTCGTGATATTTTCTGTTGGTGACAGTGGATGGAGGCCACTTTATTTTAAATTTATTTAAATGTTTCGCTTAATATGAAAGCCTCTCTGCAGGTGTATGATCCCTTCTTGTTGGTTTTTTTTTTTTCTGGACTGTTGAGTAATGTGGAATAGTGGGCCCTATTTCTTGCTTTGGGTGTAAATGGAGTGATGCCTGCTGCTATCTTGGTAGTAGATAATGGGGTGACATTTTGCTGGTTCCTCGTTGCTTTCATGATATATTGGGATAGAATGGGAAGGTCTTAAGGTGGAATGATCCTCTTGCTGAGACCTGTGATGTTGTCATGATGACTTTTGGTGGTAGCTTCCATTATTTTTTTCTATTGGTGCAGTAATTCATACATGTAGATGTTATCTTCTTTTTCTTCCCCAATGCAACCTTGAATTTTATTGATATACATCAAGATAATTCGAATTGTGCTGGATTATTCTGCAAAAGTCTACCCCTACCAATTTTATGTATTTTCAGGTTATATTGGTTCAGCTTCTTTCCTGAACACTATATTGGAAGTTGTCAGCAAGCTTCGTACAGTAAACCCTGAACTTACATACGGTAAGATTTCTGAAATTACTAAAGCGCAAGGGTAATCATCACTTCATTACCGTTTGAGGCTCAACCTTGCTCTGAATCAATGTTAATTTATCCTGAGTCCCGATGTTTCAAAACTCAAATTAAACCAGGGGGACTAGTAGAACTGCGCAAATCAAACCATCAATTGTTGGTTTGGTTCCATTTCAACCTTAGTGCATCATCATTGTGTGAGTCAATAAATCTGAGCATGGGATAAACACACAAAAAATACTTCATACTTGTGGTCTTCAGAAAAATCTGCACCAACGATTTGCATGCATGGTGTATCAACGATTTGTAATTCTTAATCCATATAATTGTTCTTCAGCATCCCTCTCTCGCATTATTAGTTTCTGACATTCTTATGCTTTTGTAACTCTTACCAGCTGCATTATAACAGTGTACATAAATTCTCTTTGTTCGCCTCTTTTCAAACTACAAGACCTAACATTTTATATTCTAAAGCATCAATTAAGATTATTTAATTTGAACACAGGCGCATGTCGCTTTAGCTAAAAACAAACTATTAAGATTTGGAGGGGGCTGACATTGCAAATTATTAACGATTTAATGTATAATAATATTCTTTTACTAAACTGTGGTGCCACCCGAGTTACACCCCCTGTGTGAAAGATGATAAAGAGTCTGTATGCTTTTTTGTCTGAGAAACTCGGGTTCATTGTTAAGTTCAAACCATCTTTTGATTGGTGTAAACTCTAAATCTTACAAAAATTGAGTGGTATTGAAATAAGACACTGGACTAAAATAGAATAGGATGATGTAAAAACTACTATCATAGCCAACCAATAAAGGACCATGCCTTTATCAATGGATAAAAAGGCTCAAGAAAATCACGTTCAGAGAACTATCTTCGTTTAGATCTCCAAATGCTTGAATTTGACTCTATAGCTCTGTCTACCAAATAATTATAAAAAGGAAAATGACCATGCCTTTTTGTAGTCACCTAATAATTCATGCCTTTACAGTCTTCAATTCTTCGTCGGAGCTTCACTTTATCTTAGTTCTCCTGGGAAGTATTGTTTGCATATCTGTATCTTTTCTAAAGTTTGTATTTTCTTGTCAGTATGTGATCCGGTGATGGGTGATGAAGGAAAGCTTTACATACCTCAAGAACTGGTATCAATTTATCGTGAGAAGGTAAGAATGATCCGCAAAATTTTGCTGGAGGTGCATTCCAGCAGTATATACATTATTAAGAGTTAGATTAG